CAGTTGCCAACCTGGATAGAAAAGTACGCTTTTATAATAGAGGTAAACATTTGACATTTTAAATTGATGTTTGTACATCTTCTTCTTTAGAGTAGGAATGAACCGTATGAAACCTATTACCAGTTTGAAAGGATATGATACTTCACTTCAAAACCGACAAAACATCGTAATAATGCAGTTGGTTAGTCATAGATATTGATCACAATCAGGATTAGGTTCAAATTTCTCCACTGCATTAATACACTTCTACTTTCATTGTGGCTTATTTTAAATATCTGCTTCAATTAGATTGCAAGGTTAATGTTTGGCTGCTTTATCAGCAAGGTTAGATAAAAGTTTAAAAGAAATAAGGGCAATTTCATAAAAGAGGTGCATGAAATACATATATTATTCTTACTTATGACATTTGTAAAACAAGTTAGTGCTTGTTTATTGATTACAAAATGGGTAAAATACTAGCCTAGGGATCTGATTAAAACTATACGATTAAATATTCATGGTAAAAGAGAAAGTGATAAAACATTGAACAAAATACAAACATAACTAAAAACCTAAACCCAAAAAATACTTCAGAATGTTAATGTACATCATTAGAGAAAAGAAGGCATGTCATTTTAGATTCCTCATTCCTTAAGCAAATTTAGTATTATGAGCTTTAAGGTTCCTATGAAGCTCTAAAAGAGAAATACATAATATATTATAGGATTAACCTGCTATATACAAAAAGTAACAAGCAACCATTGGGTACTTGATAAGTTTTCCCACAAGTTTATATAGGAATTTGTCCGTAGTAAAAGTATTCACAAGCTTTTGGTAGAGGATGCGGTCATAAAAAAACATAGCTTTGAAGTAAAAGCATCTGAAAGAACAAGGAAGTGAGCAAAGTAGCAATAAAAAAATGACACTAGGTCAAAAATCACCTAACCAAAACAGTTAAAATATTTATAACAAAGTTAATGAAGCAAGCAGTTAGATATATATAACACAAAATATTCAAGAAATAGACATGGTAGGGTACATCAAAGTGCATTTTCCATTCCCAAAAAAGTTTTTCCATGCCGATCATAAAATGTTTAGAATCATATCAGGCTCAACTTTTGGTATTTTTAGTTAATCAAAATATAAGTATGTTTTCTTGTTTAAAATTCATCGCTACTTATTTAAAAGAAGAGATCTGCACAAAATGGATGGAGAAAAGCTTGTCACGGACCACCTTCCTGCTAATATATTATTTTAGCATTGTGTTGATTCTTCTATTTGTATATTTTCCCCTGATTTAAATTGCTTTGTGTTTTGGCATTCATTCTTCTGTTTTTGTTCACATCCTCCCGCTTATATTATTTTTTCATCTCTTTGGATCCTTTTATTTTATTTTAATTGCTATGCGTTTGCTGAATTGTTCAAATGAAATTTTGTCATTAACTGATTGTCATTTACTTATAGCTGAAGGCAGTTTTTGTTTCATTTTTGTCTCCTTAGCTTGGGATTTGCTTACTATTTTCGTGCTTCTCATTTTCCCTCTCCTTAGCTTTAAATTTATATACATGATTTAGTATAACTTCACACCACACAACATGTTGACTCCTCTTTATAAATTATGAAGGGGAAAAGGGCATAATTTCAATATCCAAGCAGGCGCTTGGACAAACAAGATTATATTGTACAGATGAGGTCACAACTAAGTACTTACCAAACCAAGCCAGACCCTTCCTACATCATAACATTCTTGCATGATGTATCTCACTATATTGTTGCAACCAACATTGATCCACCAACCCCACCTTCATCAAAGATGAAGCTCTCACACTTAGGAGTAGAGGACTCAACAAGAAAATAAGTTTGATTATTTGTCACTTTTTCCCACTACTTCTATTATTGCAACTGTTTTTCTAGAACTTTTGATTTAATTTTCTCCATATACTACAACCCAATAAATATTTGACTATTTCTTCAAACAAAACATTTTTGTGTTTGTTATGTGTGTTTTCATATAACAACAAAAATGCATGCTACTGTTTGATGTGAATCTTACTCCTACTATTATGGTTATTATAGTCATTTGACTGCGATATTTCCTCACATATAATCTAACAAACTATGTATTCAAATATTACATTCATATTATTGATATATTGACTCAAGCTAAATCGAGGAATTAATATTTCTACAATGGTCTTGGGCATTGGCACGAACGCGCAACGCGCGTTACAAAACTAGTTGTTTCAATAAGCTTCTAGGATTTCATTTTCCTTTTTTCCATTTTCCTTTTGCTTTCAAGCCCAAGTAGTTTAGCAACTCAAATTGGTTTCTACTTTTAAGGTTGAGAATTTTGTATAGCCCAAAAAGTCCAATAATGAAGGAGATCCGATAATGGAAACAATCACCGATTGTACGGTGTAAACCGTACGGCCAATATCATTTTTGTAATTTTAGATGAAAATTGCAATTAATATTTAGCATTGTGATTAGTGTTCTATATATCTTCTAGTTTACTTTCTTTTTCTTATTTTTTATTTTATAAAAGTTTGTTAAATTATATTTATAATCAACTCATATGAATTTCATTATTTGATTCTAATTAATATTATACTTTTGAAATATACATTGATATGAAAATTGTAACCTCCGCTTGTTAAGTATTAAAAGGGAGAACTATCAAATAAGCTCTAGAACTTTCATAAAAAGTGCAAATAAGCCCTTTTACAGGAGCCTTTGTCCGACTGTCAACATTTGAGGCGGTTTCCGGTGGAAGTTTTTGATGAAATTTTTTGAGCATCTCTTCATTAAGTCTAGTTTACCCATAACAAATTTCAGATAAAAGTTCAATCGAAAAGGCAGTCAAATGATTTTCTGAAATATACTGCGTTGCCTAACTGCACAGTTATCTTCAAAAATTCATTTGACTGCCTTCCCGATTGAATTTTTAGCTGAAATTTGTTATGAGTACACTAGACTTAATGAAGAAGATGCTCAAAGAATTTCATCAAAAAAAATCCACCGGAAACCGCCCCAAATGTTGACAGCCGGAGAAAGCCTCCTGTAAAAGGGCTTATTTGCACTTTTTATGAAAGTTCGAGGTCTTATTTTGTAGTTCTCCCGTATTAAAATATTTTCATTTAGCATCAAACTTTCTCTATTGGGCATTGAAACTTTACAATTGAGTATACAAATTTTCAAAACCTCTCTTGAACATCAAAACGTTTCATTGAATATCTTGTTCTCTACTACTGAGCATCAAGGTTATGTATATTGATCATTGGAATTCTCAAATTGAGTATACAAAATTTCAAAGCATCATCCGAGCATCAAACTATTTTCGTTGAGTATCACATTCTTTGTTAATTTAAGCATTGAGACTGTGTATCGAGTATTGAAACTCTCAATTGAATATAAAAATTTCAAAATCTCATTTGAACATCAAACATCTTCATTGAATATCGACTTACTATTGTTCTCTACTATTGAGCATTGATATTATATAAGCAAGCTCCAATATGGTCACGTGAGCTTTGTCAACATTGATATGACATTTTAAAATGAACAAAACACATTAATATATGTATGCATATACTTTACAAAATAAGTATCGAAAAATTCCAAAGTTCGCTTGAATTCTCTAATAGTCTAATATGCTTAAATATTCATTTGTGTATACTCATTTCTTTTAAGTGTTATATTTATTTGAGTATAGCATGAACCCTTTTCTATAATATGCACATTTAAGAAATTGATTATAAACATTTTACTAAATAATCATTATCTATAACAATGAGAAATATAATAATTTTATTTTAAAAATAATTTATGATTTTTCATTCTTGTATTAGAGATGTAGAAATATAATGATCTTTCTTTTACTCGAGTAGGAAATATAGTTCTAACCAGTAACAGTTGGAGCCAGAAATACTTGGTCCAAACGAGGACCTCTATTTCCGGTTCTGGTCCACTGGCGGGTCCCAGTTTTTTTGTTTTTAGGTTTTTTATAACCCTCTCCACCCCCAGAAGCGGATCCAGGATCGAGAGATGGGGTGGGCTAAGCAGCAGTAATTTTTTTTACTATACATACCAAATTTAGCCCAGGGTTGTTATCGAACAAAGATTTTTTTGAATTATATACTCGAGTTCGAGCTTGATTTCGAATCTAATTTAATGAACTGAGTTTAACAAGTTTCGAACTCGAACACGGAGTAGGTTTTGTGTTTGAATAATTATTCAAGCCGAGATCGAACATAGTGATGTTTCGATCCGAACACGAGCCTATCGTTCACATATAAATTATACTATTGTACATATCATAAAATTTAAACGTTTTAGTGCAATTTTTATAAATTTATTAATGATTAATAAAAATTTGAATACTTATTGAATAATTTGAACATGAATCTATTAATGAGAATAGTCTAAACTTCTACATTCGAGCATGTCTATCGAGCATTGAAATCCAAATTTGAGATAGTTTGGATTTCAGGGACTACAACATGTGGAGGATCCTCATTAACTAGATCTTACACTGTTGTAGGTATAGGTTCAGAACTTCCTTCACCAGTTTGACGATTCACTTTCGAAAAGAATGATGAAATCAACTTCTTTCCCTTCTTGGCAACATGTTCATTATCCATTCTAAAAAACATTTTCATTATTGGTATATATTAAATAAAACTATTTAATTATGTACTGAAAAATTCAATTAATAATCAAAACGATTGTATGATTCCCTAGCCCTAAAACTCTAAAATGCTAAAAATAATAATAATTAATACATTAATAGTTTAATACACAATCGGTTAATCACAGTTTACAAATTCACGCAAGAAGTTCATAACTTCACTGATTCACAAATTATTTGTGGGGTGGGCTGACAAATAATTTAGGCTGGGCTGAGATTTGAAAATGTACCAATACTATTAAAAAAAAAATTGGGTTGGGCTGAAGCCCACCCCTGGCCTAGCATACATCCGCCCCTGTCCACCCCCTCCCGACCCTTTTTCAACTTTTAAATGGATTTACAATGCTTTTAAAATGCTTCCAATGTTTGAGATGCAAAAACAAAACAAAAAACTAAACCAGGTCTGGATCGGCCAGTCTCAGTCCCATGGCAGCCCGGGATCGGTCCCCGTGAACTGCCCCGGGTCCAATATACTAACAAAACTGTTAATAACTGCCCAGTCCGGTCCCAAAGACCGGCGAATTCCGGTTGGAACTGGTCACCGGACTGGAACCGGGTCCACCTCTGCCCCTTAGGTAAAAGGGATTAAGTTTACCTCGAACTGGAAACCATGCAGAACCGTAACTATATACAAAGTACGGCAACCTACAACCACATCAAACAGAAACACAGATATCCTCTTGATCCATAAAGGATACCATAATAAAAAGAAGATTAAAAAGAAAGAAAAGATACAATTTCTTGGAAGGAACCGGAGTCGCGTGATTGTCTTGATTATGCATTTGGGTAATTGGGTCGTTAGCAAACTTGTTTGATCGGAAATTGACTGGACATCTCTCATCTTACAAGACCTGCCTGCACTCTGACCAGAAGAATGCAAATTGTAATGAGATTCTTGGAAATTTTTATCATGTAGTACAACCACACATATCAGCCCAAATTCCATTTATTACTTTATTACTTTATTCTACATTCCATTTATTACTTTATTAGGGGCAAATGTATACTAGTATAACATAACAGGTGGATGGTTTCAAATTTAATCTCATTATTACCTTGTCCTCTATTTGATCTTAGTCCAGTTTATAGTTTAAACTAGCTGTTATGGGTCTGACTTGACTCTGAGCAATCTTTCATTCTTTCCACAGAATGAGGGGGTAAAGCCATGTGAATATCATTCAAACTTTCAGTTCTTCTCTTCTTGGCAAGAAGAATTTGATCTTCAAGTGAAACTTCTTTTTTGATATATTCTTTCTGTATGAAATCTATATCAAGTTTCTCCCATGCTCGTTGATGCTGGCATCTAACATGACTGTCCACAGATTCCTTCTTCTGAATCTGTGTATGGAGTTCAATATAACTTAGAGAAGCAAGAAAAGTGAAGGACTAACTTGAAACTGGACTTGGCAATGTCAATGTCGCAATTTGAAAAGAAAAATAGTGAGGAAGGGAAAAGAAAAAATAAGAACACAGAATATAGTGCAGTTCCATAATTTTCTTCCCAAAGAGGATAATGCCATATGTGGAAATCACTAAGCATTCCAATATTAATAAAACTTTCTGGTTTCAAAATGAAAATCAATCGTTCTATAAACTTCTGCCATTCGTGAAAACTGTGTATAGTTGGGTGTTTGCCAAGTAGTTACCTTCATCAATCTTGCTTTGAGATTCAATTTCTCAGTGATCTCCATATTTTCTATCCCTTGCTTTGACCTTCTCCTCATGTCTCTTTCTCTTCTAAGCGCAGCTCTCTCTTCCCTCAACTTTTTCCTTTGAGAACGTCTTTCCATCTTTTCCACTTTTGCTTGTGCTGCTCTTTCAGCTCGTAAGCGGGCCCGCTCTTTTTTCCCTGCCTTTTCGGCAGCGCAGTGGATCTGTTGAAGAGATATCTCTCTCTTAATCTTGTCATAGCTGTCCCAATCTAATTCATCCTGGTCGTCACTGCCCTTTTTAGCAGCTTCTGCCACGCTTTCGGCCCAGCCTTGCAAGAATTTCTCCCTTGACCTTTTCCTCTTTAAGCGTTTATCTAATGGCTTTCTTAGTGAAGAACGCATCCTCATCTTGGTCTTCTTGCTGAAATACAAATGAATTCTTTTAGTTCCAGTTTTTAAGCCTAAGAAATGCTCATTTCTCATTTCAATGTTGGTGTCGGTGAGAGTTAAAAGTGCCACATCCAGAAATCTTGGTTAGCGATGGTAATTCATATTCACAACTGTCCATGTTTTGTGTTTTAAGATAAATTAGGGGTTGTAAAAAAAATCAGCCCATGCTTCGAGCTTTAGGGTTCCCTCCGGAACTAGAAAAATGCTAGGGAAAGAAAATAGAAGAAATTTGGACAGAGATTTGGAAGGAAAGAAAATGCTTAAGGAAAATAAAATGTTGGTTCAAACTCAATAAAATAAAGCATATTAGTTGGTTATATTCATTAACCCTCTTTTGTTTTCCCTTTCAATTTCTGAGGAAAACTCAAACACAGTGTAGGAGTATATTTCAACGCCTGATAAAGAAGAGTCCGCTATTTGTGATAACAGATAAACTATAAAAAGGACAAATGTTAAGTATGGAATATCTGACTATCTCCACAGAGTGGGCTTTACCTTCAAGGCTCATTCTATTGTTTTGCCATGATCCAAACACAGCCTATGGAATATAAAATATCTGACTATCTCCGCTACTTCTAATAAAACTGCATCCATCAAACGTACTTAGATATGTAGTACTATGCATGTACAAAGACAGCTTACCTAAGACATGGCACATTAATAAGCACCAAACCCTAGACCTCACTCAATGGGAACCAAGCTCCTTCCCCATGGACCATAGGTCATTAGCGTAAAAAGTGATCATGTTATAGGTAACTACCTCAAATTGGTTAAGGTAAATGATAGCAAAGAGTAGTGTAATACGATATAGAAACCAATTCACTTATCATGGATCATTTTAGCAGTCTCTGGCACTTGGACCGTTTAAATGAAGCAAAAAATAGTACCTAAGCGATCGGCGACATTCTGACATCTTCTTCCTAATCTGACAAGAGAAACAGGAATAAAATGTCAGACAAATTTACACAGAAATTGAACATTGACATTCATCAAGTGCACCATCATCAGCAATCAAAAGTAGAAAGTAGAAACAACAGAAGATGAGGTTAAAGTTCAGAAAGAAGAAACTTGAGGTATTCATGACTCTCCCCCACCCCACCCAGGTGGCAGATTTAGCACCTACATTTTGGGTGTTCAAAAATACTTTATAGCTAAAAATTTAAAACCCATGTATCTTTTTCACCAATAAAAGAACTGGTAAATGGAGTTACGTGTTAAAAATAATATATAAACCAAGTACAATAGGTCAATAACTTATCAAACTAATTCTACACATATACCCTTCTGCTTGTTTTTTCACAAGATTTTAGGGGTTCACACAAACACTTTTAAATCATAGTGGATCCGTCACTGCTGGCACCCCCCCTGTTGATGTGATGAGAAGAAAAGGTATTGTTAATGACAAAGAATGAATCTTACATGACTTCACCTTGGGGTCAGAAAGAGCTTCTTTGGTTCGCATCCTGATTTTCTCACGCGTCTCTGCATGGATATCATATGCATAAGTTAGTTAAATAAGGTACGGGAATTAAATGAGGTTTAATACGTACGCGTTTTATTCGGTAACATGAAGGAAAGAAACGGTCAAATATTCGTTGAAAAAAACGTTGACTTTTAAAAAACGTATAAATAAGTATATGTGTATAATACGATATGTATCACAAAAATTCGGACGAAAAATACGGGGTATTATCTTGAACATTTGAATTATATACTTTACAAAATAACATATAGAGTAAAAAGAAATTAAAGTGTTCACATATTCAAGTAGCAAATCCTATTATTACTACATACAAGAATAATTCATAATTGCATAGTCGATTACAAAAATAAAAATAGTAATAAGTCCAAGACATAATTTTGCAAAATAATGTCAAAAAAGCAAGACATAATAACAATTGAATGAGACTAAACTAAAATCATTATCTTTATATGATCATCAAATAACACTCAAGTTAAACTCATCATTTTCATCAAGATGACGGATGACATATGAGAAAAGTTGTGCGAGTGTTATGCTTACTATTGTTTGTGTAAAAGTTTATACTAAAAAAAATGTCAGGTTTAGAAAAACCTTAATTTTGATATGCTTCTTTGGAAAAACATCAAAAATCTAGTTGTATTTTAAGTTTTATTCTTTTAGGAAGCTAGTTTTAGATGTCATGCAATTAATTTTAGTATTTAATAATTGTATTGTAACAATACAAAAATACAGGGTCGGGGGAGGAGGTTTTCGTTTTTGCTTATAAACTATTGTTGATCTCCCATGCATTTAATTTATTCATTCAATTGATCAATTCATTTTTCTATTTTTTGTAAAATACGGGAAAAAATATGTTTTATACGGGAAGGTGGAGTTTTGGTCCTTTTTAAACGGATCGACATTATTTTTCGTTTTAAACGTGTTTTTTTACTTAAAAAAACGTTATATGTTTAAAACGCAAAAAAGCTAACTAGGATTTATTTATTCATATGTGCAATTAGACACAACAAACACCCCCTACACAATGCCATATAAGACTAACTGCAACTCTAGCCTACCTGCAGTGTGCTTCCTGCCCTTGTTCCACGCCTCTTTCCCTTTGTTACCTTGACTAATCTTTCTTCTTCGCAGTATTTCCGTATAGTCGATGCCGATGTCTTCTTGATGCTCTGAATTTGAAGATTGCTCCTCGGATAAACCAATGGGCTCACACTTTGCCTGACATCTCATAGATGTCTCTCCTAGGCTTATGCTACGGCAGAAAGCCCTGTTTGAGTTCCCCACATTAATGGAAACAGATAACCAATGGAGTGGGGAATTGTTCTTCAGACTTGTGCTCAGCTTCAGCTGTGACTTTGTGCAGTCAGCCATAATATTGGAAGCTTGGAAGCAATGCGTGTTGAGCATTGTTGAACTCAGAGGAAGGTAAGTGATAGGAGATTTCCTGAAACCAGAGAAACATACAACTTAGTACAATGTAATGGTCCATTTGGTTGAAACTGAACCAGGTTTTATAGGTTAATTTGGAGCTGAACTAATCTGAGAAGTACTTTAATGACAAAAAGCTAGGTTTTTAAAGAGATTCTGGATTAATCGTAGAGAACCTCAGGAACCCCAATTTGACAAAACCTGCTTCCTTAACCGCCACCCAGACCTCAGACAAACCACACCAACATAACTAGCCAAACAGCACTTTTGTACATGCACTTTGGTCCAAATAGATTCACACCGTTTTGAACAAACCTCTGTTCAACCAGGATTGATTATGCTTACCCAACCTAGCGGAGCTTAAGGAAGGAAAAAGTCAGTTGTCTTATCTGCTTTCAATACTGTCCAAATCTTACAAAGCCTATTCTTCTTGATTCGAATCAAAAAACACTTTTACAGTTTTACACCTTAATACGAATCAAGATAGAATGATATATCACATCTCAATGTGTTCCAACTTCTGAACTAAATCATCCACACAGAGTCACAGACCACATTCTAGAGCAAAACCTGCCTTAAAGAATTTACGGAATAATGCATTAAACAGCATAAAACTGCCAAAAGAATATCCAATTCTTCCCGAGAAAAGTTGTAGCGATTTAACTTTAGGGATCTATCCAAGCAATACTACCTCCTCGGATTGTCCCCTTTTCCTCGTAAGTCTCTCCCACTAAGATTATCCGTAACAAATTTAGTCAAGTTTGTGTGACTCTAAATCATTCTTACTTTATTTTGACTTTATCAATTCAATATCAACCACATAAACCACTTTTATTGATTTGCGTGACACTCCCTCTTGTTCCATTGTTAGCGTGACGGAGGGAGTACTTATTAAGTATTCCGTACGAATTACAGAGGTTGATCGGATTGGACAGGGACTGTCGGGTTGTGGACCGGACTGGACAGAGATCGCAGGGGTCGTGGACAGGATTGGACAGGGACCGGCAGGTCGTGGACAGGATTGGACAGGGACCGGCAGGTCGTGGACCGGACTGGACAGGGATCGTCGGGTCGTCGACCGGACCGGATCGAGACCGTCAGGTCATCGACCGGATCAGATCAGGACCATCGAGTCATCGACCGAACCGGACCAAAACCGTTGGGTAAACGAACAGATCAGACTGGGGTTGCTCGGTCATCGATCGGACCAGACGGGGACCGCCAGGTCAATGAACCGACCGGTCATTGACCGGACTGGACAAGGACCGCCGGGTTGTGGACCGGACCGGATAAGGACCGCTAGGTCATCGACCAGACCGCGAGTGTCGGGTCGTCGACTGGACCGGACCGGGATTGCTCGATCGTCAACCGGACCGGACAGGGACCGCCGGGTCAATGACATTCGAGCGGAACCGGATCCACCACTAGGCGTAGGTATGCGAATTCATTGCAGCGGCACTGTAGCATCCGCGTTTTCCAAATTTGGAAAACTAGTAAAAGTCACTTCTCCAATTCATTAAGAAAAAGAGAGACAATTCTCTTTTTTTTTTTTGAAAAATGATTTGGTAAACACAGTTTCCTGTTTTCCTTTCTCCATTTTTTCAGAAATTTTCTTTGATAAACACATTTTCTGTTTTCCTTTTTCCAGTTTTCTAATTTTCTGAAAAATTGGAAAATATCTCTTTTAGTAAACATATATGCTCCTCTACTCTCAAATTTGCAGGTGGGTCGGCTGACTACCCGGACCCCCTTAGCTCCGCCCGTGTTCATGATTAGATATAGTAGAATCCCTAGGCATGAAATAGTTTTTCTTAAAAAAGGCCCATGGTTGATGGAGTAAAATGCTTGTAGTCATGCTCCACCGGTCATTTTATATCTGAGAGCAAATTGATAAGCTCCTTAATAGTAGTATGAGAAAAGAAAATGCACTTCCATTCAAACACTTTATTTTTATTTCTTATAGGAGCAAAAATAGTCTTCAAAAATAGATAAAAATACCCCCAACACCCCATATACTCTTCATACATTGCCCTCGGGGATGGGATGTCATTTTTTTTTTCATACATTGCACCAAATTTGAATACCAAATTTATGGGAAATTGAACTTGCATCAGAGAGCGAAATTAGGATGTTTTTACCTGAATTGTTTTCAGTCCTAGACCAGATCAAATAAGATCGGATCATACTAGACCATACTTAAACATACCAGACCAAATCGGACTTAAACATACTAGAACAGACTAGATCAAACTTCGACAATTATAATAAAGTACACAAAAATCAAACATTTATCAGACCAAGCAATATCAGACCATATTAGAATTAAAATTTCGGGTTTGATTTAGTATGAATTAATATGGTCCATTAGATGTCTGTTTTTTATGTGACTTATTGTTATAATTATTAAAGTTTGATCTGATCTGATTTAATCCGGAACCGAAATCAATCCAATTAAAAATATTCTATTAAAATAAAAGTAGGAAATCGTAAACCTATAAAGATTTTCTAATTTGGATTAGGAATCTATTTCAAAAGTGAAGGCGTATTTGAATTTTAGATGTAAAATAAAAAAACAACCAAAAAAATTACTTATTTGGCTAAGCTAAACATATTTACTTGTGAAAATATATACTTCGTATACTTTATGTTGGTTACAATCTTTAATTTCATTTTTAATTATTTACTTATTTGAAGCTTACTAATTTATTAATAGGTGTCAAATTAATAAGTAAACTAATTTGCATATTTGTTTCTATTTAATTCGATGAAGTAAACTAATATAAATTAGTTTCCATATCAATAAACGTTATTAGAATTTCACTTTGATAACCAAAAATTGTTTTACTTATTTGAAACTTACCAAATTAATTAAGGTGGATTTATAAGAATTTTTGTTTCCATATCAATATGCAATCAAAAATAGAATCTAATAAAAATAAAAGGTATAAAAATAAGTAAATAATTGTTATATATAATGACATGGAGGGATTATGTGGCGCATTGTATCGTCTTAAAAAGTTCCTCTTTTATATATATTGATAGAGTATATCTAGAGAGAAGTGAGAGCTAGAGAGAGAAGTGCAATAATATGCTTCAATATAATGATTTTTTTCTTAACCCCTATAACTACTCCCAAAGGGAGTATTTATAGAGAAAATTGGGGTTGGGCTCCCAAGCCTTGGGCTTGGGAGGCCCATTTACAACTGGACCGCTACTGGGCCGAATACAAAGCCACTAATGGGCTGTACAAATGAGTAAGTATAAAATCCGATTCTGGGAGGTCTTCTTGGCCGACGAGGGCGTGGCCGACGAGGGCACGGCCGACGAGGGCACCCGGGTTCCTTAAACTCAGGACCATAATCCGAGTTGGCTTCTTTTCGGCTGACGGGGGCGTCCTGGCCGACGAGGGCGCCACTCTGTTGTCTTGTGCTTTCTGTTCTTCCGAGTATGTGGGTCCTGGGGCTCAGACCCATATACTCCATCAGGAGTCCCCCACTCTCTAAGCTGAGACGTAGACGAAGTGAAGGAGAGTAGATTTCTGTGCTTTGTTGCTTTTGGCCGACGCGGGCATTTCCAGGCCGTTAGCCGTTGCGGCGTTGGCGTTGTTTCATCTTTGGCGATCATGTTCTGTGCTTTGGCCGTTACCTGTTCCTCGCTGTGGGCGGGGAGGCCATTGTTTCCTTAATTTGTTTTGGGACGATGAGTGACCTTCTTTCAATGGTGGTCGTTGAAGGCGCGCTTTCCCTTTCCTGGCCGTTGGTGGTTGAAGTTTATGTTTGGGCCGGTGAAGCCGCTGAGGTTGTTCCTTGCTTTGAGGACGATGGCCTCATTTCCTTTGTGTGGCCGTTGCTGGTTGGCCGAAGAGCCCGTCAAGATTAATTGTTGGCGGAGGACGATGAGTGTCCTTGCCTCTAGTGGCTTGTTGGCCGTTGCTAGTGACGTTATGGGCCTTTGGCCGATGAAGTTCCGTTGTGCTGTATGGATGATGTGGCCATGCTTTGTGGTTACCTTGTTCGCACTCTTTTGTTTTGTTGAGGCCGGTGTAGTCCCCCCAGTCCCCCACTGCTTCAGGCCGAAGAGTGTGAGGGGTGAAGGAGTTGCTTGAGTCCCTGGCCGAAGCGGTCTCGCCGTAGTCCCCCTGAATCCAACTCTCATGGCGATTTTCTGGCCAAGGTAACCCTGTGGGAGAACCCTTGTGCGCAGATCGCTTGTAGAGAGTTATCATCAAGGGTTATTACAAGGAGCCGAAGGCTGTGGGCTATTTGTCCCCTTTGTTCTGTGGCCGTTACGTTCCTGGCCGTTGCCATCCTCTTATTGTTTGGCATTTGTGATCTTGGTGAGCAAGTGGGACGTTGTGGGCGCTTGCTGGCAGTTGTAAAGCCGTTGAGCGTGTGTAGGCCGTAGAGTCTGATTTGCCGGTGGGCCGTTGATATGGGTTGGTCCTGGCCCGTTGGTGACGTGGTGGCCTCCCAGTGGTGGCCGTTGATGTGGCCATTGGGAGAGTGCCACGTGTAGTGACCGTTGGTGGGGGGGTCTATAAATACCCCTTCCCCTCCGACGAGGAATCATATTTGCATTCTGAATTTGTCGAAGTGCTGGCCGATTTTCTAGAGAGATAAACTCCCAAGCCTGTTTTTCGTGTTCTTCGTTGTTCGAGGTTAGTGTTCATCACGATCTTCCTCGCTTTTCATACTTTGCTTCCTAGGTAGTTGATCTAGTGTTAGGTGTTTAAACACCTTTAGATCTTAAGTTGGTCTCCTTAAGCCCGTAGTAGTAGTAATGAAGAGCTTGAACGAGGACTACTACCCCTACGACGACCAGCCCTCCACGAGGTCGCTTGACTACGAGGTGCTCGAGGAGTTTGAAGAGGAGATAGAGCGTTTGAGCCCCTACAAATCCGGAGAGCTGATGGACGAGGAAGGCGAGGACGAGGAGTCCGCCTCCTTTTCAGAGGGTGAGGACGTAGGCGCTTCCCGAGCGGTGGACGGGGCGTCCACTTCTGCTGCCGTTCCGTGCCCGAGGCCGGTGTCTGCCGTGAAGGGCGCAGCTAAGCGAAGAGGGTGAGGAGGCCGAAGAATGGGACGGGCCTCTCCTACTTGGACCTCAGCAACATATTCCTGATCAAGCCGGAGAGCTGTGCGGCCGACTATCTTGTCGCCCAAATGTACGTGGGGCCGTTCGGGCGGGATAGGGCACCCAGGCCGACGGACCATGTTCTACTTCCGCCACCGGGATACTTTGGAGTATACCCGATGAGCTTTGCTAAGGGGTTGAGGTTCCCCCTTCACCCTTTCGTCATTGAGTATCTGGACATGGTGGGGCTTCCTCCGGCCTTGCTGACGCCGAACAGTTATTCCTTGATGGTGGGCTTTTTACTTCGGTGTGAGGAGTTGGGCTTCAGGCCGACCACGGCCTTATTCATGAACTTGTACCAGATCGGCCGAGGAAGCCACAAGAATTGTGCGGCCTACGCTACTCTTCAACAGCTGCCGAGGAAGAGGAGCTTCACGGATTTGCCCACGTCCATTCATGGGTGGAAAAGCAAGTTCGTGTTTGTGTCCATTGGTGAAAGTGGCACCGAGTTCCCCTCTCTCGGCCATACCGGGAGGTTCAATCTCCATGACCCGCCGAAGAGCTCTATTTTGGACGCTCAGGTGGAGGCTTTCCTGGAAGGAGGGCCGAGGAGCGTGAAAGATTACGTCACTGAATACAAGATGACCGCCCTCGGCTTCTTCAGATATCACCTGTATGGGGATAAG